CCCGGGCCGGCGGGGGGGGAGCCGGAGGCGAGGGCGGCGCGCGGGACAGGCCTGCCGGGCGGGCGGCCCGGGGACTGAGGTAGAAGTGGGCGCGGAGGAAGGGGCCGAGCCAAGGCGGTGGGTGGAGCGGCGAGGGGGGCGGAGGCTGGGCCGCGGCGGGCGAGAGGAGCGGCGTGCCTGTCCGGAGCTCGGCGGCGCCGTAGTCGGCAGAGGCGGCAGAGGCGGCGGCGGGCCCGGACGAGCGCCCGGAGGTGGCGGACGAGGCGCCGGGGGCCCCCATGGGCGGGTGTGTGGGCGCCCAGCACGACTCCTCGGGCAGCCTCAACGAGAACTCGGAGGGCACCGGAGGTAGGTGAGCGCCAGGGGGCAGCCTCGGCCCCCCATTGTTCCCGGCCAGGCCCGGCCACCTGTCCCGGCCCCTGCGGGCCCGCGGGCCTCGCGGCCGGGGTCCCCGTGCCCCTTTGTCATCCCCGCCTCCACGTCACTCCCCGCGCTCCGCTTCCGGCCGCCCCGCTGGCCGCGGGGTCGCCCCCTTTTCTCCCTGGCCCTCGATAAAGCCCTCAGCGCTCCGGGGATGTAGCCCTCGGCCTCTCGATCCCACTGCCTCGGCTCGGGAAACTCGGACCAGAAACCGCCTCTGGCCACCTCACTCCCTCTCCAGTTGGTTTAATTATTCAGGAACAGGATGGCGGCGCTGGGGTTGCAGAAAAGCCAATTGATGGAGGGTGGGGGGGGGGGAGCCTGATGCCTTCCCTCCGACGCTCCCGGTCACATCTCTCCGCACCCGTCCTTGTTCAGTAGAGTTGGCTGGTCTCAGCTTTCCTGAGTTTCAGATGACAGCTGCCCTGGTTGGTTCCAATTTGGCCATTTAAACCTGCAAGTTTCTGGAGCTCGGCCGGGGAAGTCTCAAGCGGCCACAGGCATTACTTTAACGAGGGGTGGGGAAACGGTCTTCTCGAGTAAAACGTGGCTTCTTGCTACAGCCCGGGGGTGTTGGACCAGTGTCGGGGTGGGCTAGTCGAATTCCTGTCCGTCTTACGTAAGCATGGGGGGGGGGGGGGGGGGGGGGAGCCTGATGCCTTCCCTCCGACGCTCCCGGTCACATCTCTCCGCACCCGTCCTTGTTCAGTAGAGTTGGCTGGTCTCAGCTTTCCTGAGTTTCAGATGACAGCTGCCCTGGTTGGTTCCAATTTGGCCATTTAAACCTGCAAGTTTCTGGAGCTCGGCCGGGGAAGTCTCAAGCGGCCACAGGCATTACTTTAACGAGGGGTGGGGAAACGGTCTTCTCGAGTAAAACGTGGCTTCTTGCTACAGCCCGGGGGTGTTGGACCAGTGTCGGGGTGGGCTAGTCGAATTCCTGTCCGTCTTACGTAAAGGAAACTATGTAAGATAAAAGTACAAATGCCTGAGAGTCCGTTTACCCTAGCAGGATCGGTACTGTAAAAGTTTCTGTAACACGGAACGCACTTCTTATTCAATGTAAAAAGCAGTTTGCCGAGGAGAGTATTTTAATGCAATCGGTGTTGTAGTATAACAGAAGAATAATACAGTTAATTCTACTTTTAGTTAAATGATCTCTTGCTGAGTCCATTCTATAGCTTGTGTAGAGGACAGAATGTTTTAAATAAGAAATCGCTTTTAGGAACAGCAAAGATGACAGTGTTCGTTTTGTTCCAGCCTTGTGTTAGACGTCTCAAAATGTGGGGCATAAGTTCCTAGACTAAGTCGTTTGGGGATGGGTGGGTTTACAACTTTTTCTTAACATGCTAGCTAGCATTTAGACCAGCTGCTTGCCTGTCACTAAGCTCCATCTATAAACCATGTACATGAATGGTTTGGCTGATGAATGTCCTGAATTGCCTGATGTTTAGCCATGCCACTTCATTTAAAATGTATGGGCATCCTGTATGTCTAAGTCCTGGGTAAATGGTTTGAGAGCTCAGCGAAGCCTGTCTTGAAAAAATCGTCCATGAAAACGGTACTTTATAGTGCATTTCAAGTCAGAGCATAATTACTCAGTGGCACATTAACAATGAGATTTGCCGTGAAAACAGGGCAGGAAGATAAAAAGGGCATGATTGAAAACACCCTTAGGTTAAGATCAACTTGGGGGTCAGATGATTCTTCCTGCGTTTGAGGTGATAATTAATGGTACTGAACTATATAGGTGGTGTTACTTTTTAGTAAGTATAGGTAGTGTGCTTGTTATAGGTAGTGTTTAATTTTAATTAAAATTTTTCACACTGATTTTAATATTCTAATTCAGCGTTTTTCTATTGGTAATGCACTTGAACCAATTTATGGTTTTATGGCCTTTTGGTAGTGTGACTTATGACCAGCCAGGCATTATTAGCATGGGCTTTTTAAAGCAAGAAGTATTAGCTTTTGGTAATTTATTACCAATGGTATCTAGTTAGATAACTATAGTATCAGTTTCTTTGAGAACTGAGTTCTCTGGGTCTTAAGGTGTGCTTTACCTTTTTGAAATAAAGTTTAGAAAAAAGGAACCTCAATCACCAATCCTCTTTATTTTTTTTTCTGGAGAGAAGACATGACCCTGATGTAACTGGGGTAAAGGAATGAGCTGTGTGGCATAAAAGGATTACTTCTGGAATTTAATTAGGGAGGCCTTTATTCTTCATTATTGTCATGATAGTTAAAGAGTTAATTGTGGTTTAAAGGAATTAGCTCAGGTGAGGGTTTCAGGTTAACATGTTAAATAGTTTCTTGCTTATCATGATAGTTTTTTGTTGGGAAGGGAAAGACTTTTTCCTAAGGGTGTTGGCACAGATCCTTCACTTTTCAGACGTACAACAGTCGTTAGTAGTTTTAATCTGGACATATTGGCCTATGAAAATTTTTTTATCAGCATGGAGTTAAGTACAGTTTCCGATGCTTTTCACGACAGATTTAATTACATCCACGGTGTAGTGCAGACATCACCGTTTTAGTATGGCTTCACTTTCTGAATATCAGCAGACTTAGTAAGATAACTAAAAAAAAACAACTTTTTTTGCTATTTGAGATACTGTACTTTCCCTTTCCCTCTGAATCTAAGTCTCTTAAGTATGCAAATAATTGTGTGTATATTGAGAAAAACTTCCTTTCTAGGTGGATTAGTTCTTTGAAGAAATTTGAGAAATTTTTGTAAGAGGTTATAGAATATGGAAATTGCTTAATTCATGTTATAAGATTTGTGTTTTCTGTTGTTTTGGAATCAATTGCTGTGTCTTCTGGCATACCTTGCCTAGAATTCAGTTTTTGCATTTCAGCTACTTTGACCATTTTTTAAATGCCTAATTTTAATCGAGAAAGGTATATTACAGGAGTTATGCAAGATCATTTAACAGGTCTCTCCAAGCTTCCACACTCCTAGAATTTCCAATTGTTTTGACATTTGTAGACAGCATATTTTGTATGGTTCTCCACCTTATTATGACATTGTGATGCTGAGGTTGGCACTTAGGTCCTCTAGACAAGGCTCTAGCCCAAGGCATTTGCTAAGTAATTAAATCTCTGAGGATTTTTAAAAATAAGAAATATGTGAAGAAAAAACAATAAAATGAAATTCATTGAAGACAGCCAGTTACCTTCTTTTCATATTTTGATCATTTCTTTAATGAAAATAGTGATGTACAAAGTAGGTTCTCACTTTCTGGGTGTGTCATTTATTTTGTACATTCAGTGATATCCCAAGATTACTGACCCAGGCAGTCATCAGTTTCCAGGTTTACAGGAGGATAACTCTGAATGCTGAACATTGACTGCTTTATTTCAGAGTGTCTTGAGAATATCATGGAATTCTTTCAGTTATCCATTTATAGCAGCCTTAACACCTACTTGATGAGAACAATGGTTTTTGAGTAACAACAGCTACCATTTATCCAGTATTTATTATGTAACAGGTTCTGTGATTATGTTCTCATTTAGTCTTCAACAACTCTGGGAGGTGGATAGTATCTCTGTTTTACAGATGGATTGAAGCTGGGAGAAATTAAATAACTTGTTTAACATGGCATAGCTTACAAATGGCAGAGCCAGAGCTTAAACTCAGGGCTATAATAAAGAATGCTAGTTTTTTTCTTTTTTTCTAGTTTTATGTTTTAAAAATTTTAGTAAAATACATATAAAACTCGCCACGTTAACCACTTTTAAGTGTACAGTTTAGTGGCATTAATTATATTCACAACGTGCAACCATCATCACTGTGTATTTCCAGAGTTTTTTATCACTCCAAACACTCTGGATCCATTAAGCAGTATCTTTGCTCCCCTTTCCTCCCAACCTGTGGTAACCGCTGATCTATGTTTTGTCTCTGAATTTGCCTGTTGTAGATATTTCATATAAATAGAATCATACAATGTTTATTGTTTTGTTGGTGGTATATTTCACTTACATGTCTTCCAGGTTTATCCTGCTGTAGCAAGTATCAATGCTAAATCCTTTTTATAGCTGAATAATATTTCATTGTATATATATACACCACATTTTGATTATCTCTTCATCCATTGATGACATTTGTATTGTCTCCACTTCTTGGCTGTTGTGAATAATGCAGCTATGAACTTTGGTGTACACATAGCTGAGTCCCTATTTTCAGTGCTTTTTTGATATATACCTAGGAGAACCTAGGAATTGATAGGTCATGTGGTAATTCTGTGTTTACCTTTTTGAGGAACTGCCAAACTTTCCTACAGTGGCTGTACCATTTTATATTCCCACTAGCAGCATACAGGCGTTCCAGTTTCTCCACATTTTCACCAGCACTTGTTATTTCCTGTTTTAAAAATTATAGCCTTTCTAGTGGGTGTGAAGTGAGTGGTATCTCATTGTAGTTTTGGCTTGCATTTTGTAATGGCTAGTGATGTTAATGTGCTCATTTGGCATTTGAATATCTTCTTTTAATAGATAGAAATGTCTACTTAAGTCCTTTGCCTATTTTTTAATTGGGTTGTTTGGGGTTTTGTCGTTGTTGAGTTGTAAGAGTTCTTTATTTATTCTGTATATTAAACCCTTTTCAAGATACCTGATTTGCAGATATTTTCTCCCATTCTGTAGGTTGTCTTTTCACTCTCTTGATGGTGTCTTTTGATGCACAAAAGTTTAATGAAGTCCAGTATATCTGTTTTTCCCTTTGTTGCCTGTGCTTATAGTTTGTTTTAAATATGTATTTAATCCTTCACTGATGGAGAAAGAATAAATCTATAACCAGTAATTCACAAATTAACATTTGCTTTCTTAACTATGAATAGAAAGCTGTTTTAAGCTTATTTCCTCTGTCAGATCTGGTGAAAAGGTTGATTTGCAGTGAAATGGTTTTTATTTTATTTTATTTTTTAAAACTTTAT